ATCTCTGGTAAACAGATTTCTAACACACAGTGATTACATGGTGGATACCACAAACCCGGTAACTTGGGATAATCAGAATCAATTTTTTAGCATTTTATCTTTTGTATATTTAATGTGTTTTTTGTTTTGCCCTTGGAATGTGTGTATTAATTTACAGGTACATATATGTTGTGAAGTTTGATTTTTTTTTTTTTTTAAATTTGTTCACATTTTGATCTTCCCAGTGAACGCTTATTTAAACAACCAGCAGAGATTGTTAAAAATATGAAGCAGACATGCACATCAGGTACAAATAGTCAAACATATTCCTTTCTTAGATAATTTTGTTCTTAATGAGATTTTAATTAGTTTTGTGTACTTTTATCATTACTTTTTATCAGATGTTATGTATCATTAGATGACAGAGTACATTATGTATAATATCCTTTACCTGTTTGCATATTTTGGAATTTTATATTGTACACAGTTTTACCAGGAGAATATTCTACTTTTCTGCTAATAGATATTTTAGCTTTCTTTTTTTAATTGATTTTAACTATTCAAATGAATGTATCATGCACAGATGTTTTAAATTTAGTCTGAATGCAATCTGTACTGAACAGTGAAAGCCATTAATAGAAAACACGTAAGGATGCTGGTTTTGTTCTGTACTTGTAAGACTGGGGATAGAACCTACCTCTGAGAGTGACTTTTGCCTGAAGCTATTCCTACATGTTGAGCATGTGTTTAAGATAGATTTTTTTTTTTTCCTCAGATTTGCATTGATCTTCTTAGTCTGATACATTTATTTCAGAATTGGGATCTGTTCAATCAAATCTTTATTCATAATTTTCCTGTTAATTTATAAAACTTATAATTATTCATTAGATTAGTATTTGCCAGAATGGTGACTTTACAGATGACCAAGCTGATCTCCAGGTTATACCTATTTAAATTGAGAATAAGTATTATTCCAGTACATCATATCTCTCAGCATCTGATTCCAAATAGAAATAAAGTTTACAGGGCTTAATTAAGCAATGTAAGTTTACAGGGTTATTTTGCCGTGTTCAAGTTGAAGTAATATGTTTTGGGAGGGTGATGAAAAAAACACTGAATTAAATGTAATTATTCTGGATTTACAAAAATGTAAATGCAATCTGTTCAGCTTGAGGTATTTCATTTGGATTTTCTGCTGTTACGTAAATTAAACTTTAATAATCTACAGACAGAAAATACAATTGAATATAGGTACGCTGATGCATGATTACCATGGCAAAAGAGAGGTTGCATTTTCTTAGTGCGTTTTTTCTTTCCTAATTTAGATCAATATCCATTCTACTTGGAGATAACCAAGGAAGAAAAAAGTACTTCAGCGACATCTGCATCCCATAAAATGGCAAGTTTAAGGTGTTTAGGTAAATATCATCTTAGTCTTTCTTTCCTGAGTCCGTAAAAGAAACCTTAAAGAATCAGCAATGCAGTGAGTGAACTGACATTATAGAAATCTTAACCCATCTATTGGATTACCTATTATGTATATCTTAACTGCTTCCTTTCCTTTTTCTGCCCCTAAAATAAAACATAAATATTGAAATAAAGCTTACTTATTCCAGTTTTAGTCTAGGTATCTTTTCTTAATGTGGGTTTACTAACAAACAGAATATACAACAGCTTAAAAGATGACACACTACTTACAAGAATACTTAAGAGCGGGTGTTTTCCTCCTTTCTCTGATCGGAAAGAGGGAGGGAAAGCACGTAGCCCTGCTCGATTCCCTCATGTATTCGTCTGCTAAGCATCCTAACTATTCTGCAACCCTTCTCTTTTCTCTGCCTTACAGCTATTAAGTACAGGCAGTCAGTTTTACAGTAGTCCATGATTGCAGCCCTCAGTTACCCCATCTTCTACTTCCTGAACATGGTCTATCAGTAGGTTATAAGAATGCTTCTGGTATTCAGGATTTGTAAGTGGGTTTTGTAATCAAGCTTGTGTCTCTCTATTAAAAACAAACAAAACAAATACAAAACCCAAAAAACCCACCAAAAGGAAAAAAAAAAGTGCCCATAACTCACCTTTGAACGTCATTGAGGCATATGAATCCAAGTTGTCAAACTAAATTCAACCTTAGCTTTAGCTTGAGCACTGCTTTATCATAGCCTAGAATATTGCAGATGTGTACCAGTGCCCTTCTTACAATTCCTCACAGTGCAGAAGTTCTCCTTCAGCTGACATAATTAACTATGAGAACATCCAAGAATAACTAAACCATAAATTACCCTGGGAATGTCCTCAAAAACGAACAGGAAGGCTTCCTGTGAGGAAATTCATACCTCAGCTAGACTTACCATTTATTCAGGTCAATACAGATAACTGTTACAACACAGAGAAAGTTTCAAATTCTATCAAAGGCATTTTTATATTTTGGATCATGGATAAATGTGCAAAGGGAACTTAAGCCCCTTTCTTCCTATCCCACTAATATTTTTACTTCTGTAGAGGATCTGTGCCTCATTTAGTACTTCTGGAGTTGAAGTGCGGTGTAACTTGGTCCCTTAGGCCATGTTGAAAACACTTTTTTTTTTTTCTTTAAGAGAGCAAGTACAAAACAAGAAGGAAGTGTTTTCAAGAAAGTACGTAAAACTGTAACCTCTTTTGAGATGTTTATATGGAAAACTGGAGGTCAAATAGTAGATCACAGTGAGCAGAATAAAACGCTGGACTTTGTGATGGCTTCTATGGCATTTGTGCTTGCTGTTTCTACAATATCCTTTTTTTTTTTTTCCCCCCAGGTTGTACAGCAGGAGGACTGTCCTTCAATAGTAAAACCTTTACCAAGATGTTGCAAAGTTGTCCATACCAATGTGACCATCACAAAGTCATTCTGGAAGCTGAAGAAAGATATAAAAAGGAACTTCGCAAACTGGCTGTTTGTAACAACAGTAGATACGCAGCTCATGAGAGTAATTATGATTTTTTTTTTTTAGTAATTGTAACTATTGTTTTAAATAGTATTTAAAATTCTGAACTTATTTTGATCTGATTCTGATTGTCCTGTGCTTGTAAACTCACTCATTTAATTTGATTTACCAATGACTTGTACTAAGTGAGACCAGAACTAGCCACTTTTGTTTTGATAGTTTTGTGTATTTCTTGGCACCACTGATATATCCTCCTTGTAGGCTTTGATGAGACTCTGGCCTGTTTGCCGGAGTTAGGCAAGTACTAATAGAAGGGAATGTATTAAGTTGAAATAAGTGTGAATGGATGTATGACATCATAACAAGGTCGTTTCATTCTAATATTACATACTTACAGATGTAAGAGGCTTATAATTCTTAATGAATTAAATAAAAGCTCATCCTATATTTTTCTGGTTTAAAGGAGGCATTTTGAAAATTAAACAGTTACTACTTACTGGCATTTGTACTGGTGTCCATATTATATATTTTCCAGAAATACTGCTGACCCCAGTGAAGAAAGAAAGACTGCATAGAGAAATACAAACTTTTAGGAGCAAAAAGGATAGCTTCCAAAGTAAGGACTTGGTTTGGAAATCAATGCAAAAAAACCCTTGCTGTCCAAGTAATTCTTTTGCAGGACTTTAACAGGGGAACCTGTGGATAGGGAATTATAGGGTTTTTTGTGGATTCTGTGAAAAATCTGCATATTAATAGGCCAGAAAATACATATTCTATAATTCTAAAATTGTGTTATGCACATTAGTTCACAATGAAGTTATCTAGCACTTGCTTTGTAGATACTGCTTTGAATCCTGTCAGGGTTACTTCCATGCCATCTGCTATTTTTCAGTTTTGTGGCATTAATTTTTTTAATGGAGAGGTATAGTCAGGATCAGAACACAGTACAGTTGCCTGTTTCTGGATTCAGCATCACTCTGTTATACAGTCATAGCCGTGTTACCCTGTTATGCCTTGATATATGTCTGTTCCTGCTTGGCACTCTGCTAAGGACTTGGGTTTCTGTGTGCTAAATAGCTAAAAGGGTAAACCTTAATATATACAACAATACTAGAGCAAGTAACTGAAAACAACCTATCAGAAAATTAAGTACAGGAGGTCTGTTTGCCTGTCCTGTATTATGAGGTGTTGAATAAGATATTATTAACAAGGTAGAGATGGAAAAGTGAATATAAGTTCCATCAGTTTCTGCAGTGCAGTTTAGGAACTCTGTGTTTACAGAACTGTCAGTTGCCTGTAAAAACTGGTATTCTTTATAATACACAAAAACTGTCCATTTGTAAATAGCAGAGTACATATCTTTTACAGTATTTTATTCTGTGATATAGCAAAAAAGTTAATGGTTATATTTTTTCCCTTACTCTGCAGATACATATTTTTACATAATTCACAAGGAATTTTCTTCAGAATGTGGTGTTTGTGGGTACATCCTGCAGAGCTCCAACTACAGTCATACATTGCTACATTCATCAACTAGTAACCAATACTCTTTCTTATGATTGATGATCAGAAATTTTAAAGTGGGCTGAAGCAGCTCTCTAAATCAGTACTTAAAACATTAATATTACTTTAAAAACCATTACTTTTTGTAAAATCAGCGCACCCATCAGGAATTTATTTTTAGTTTCCCATTTCCAAAAACCTTGTTTACATTGTTATGTTCTTTAATTAATTTCCGGTAAAAGCTAGTAGATTGATTTTTTTAAATTTTAATTTTTTTCCCTTCCAGATTCAGAAATTAATTTCGCTATGATAGCCATGGAGGTCTTTAAAAAAAAAAAAAAAAACACAAACAAAACCAAACAACTATTTCATCTCAAGAGCCCATTACACTAATATATTACGTTTAGCAAGTACACACTTTTTGAAATAAACTGAATTTTCCAGTCTTTCTTCCAAGACCAGATAGTAGTTGTGGCTCAAAAGATGGTTCTCTTAAATTTTAATTCCTAAAACATTAGCTGTGTTTTGTGTTTTTTTAAGAAAGATGCATAATGTTTTATTGTTTGGGTTTTTTTAAGGTATTCTTTTGACTCCAATTAGAAAAAAAAAATCTAATACTTCAAATAGAGATGAACGTAGTAAAAATACTAGGTTGACTGATGACTATAACTTGATACCTACGTATGCAAAGTGTGAGTATTATCAGAAAATTAATTCTATAATAAGCGTAACTTAAAGATCAGGTTTTGCATTTAGGTCGAGGCATTGAGAAAAGCACCCAATGCTTGCTCTTGGAGACAAATGGCTAAGAATTTTAATAGTTATGTTCTTGTTCCTTCAATCATACTATTACTGATGTTTGAGTTAATTCTTATTATTTGCTAGTTGCTTCCAATGCATAAATAATTCTCATGTGTTAATGATGAGAAAAAGATCTAATGAAAATTAGATATTACTAATAAAGCAACATTTACATATTCAAGGTAATTAGAAGAAATGTTCCTTTACAACACTATATTCATTTTACAGTAGGTTTCAGTTAGTTTAACGTAACTAAGAGGAGGCCTTGTTCACAATTTCATAGCTTTCAAAAAAACCCAAGATGCTAACCTGAAGAGACAAAGAGTCAAAGAAATGTGCAACCAGGAATGTCAGCGCTTAAAAGAAAATTGCATATATTCACTTGACAAAGATAAGGTTAGTTACGCAAAGCCTAATCATACACTCACATATTTATAAATGTCCAAATAAAATCACTATGAATTGCATAATTAAGTCACCTTTAACAGGAACCCAGTAGCAAAGTGAACCTTACTAAAAAGATACTCCTCTATGATTCTACTCCAGTCATACTGATTTATCCCTGAATTGAGTTAAGCATTTTTCAACTGACAGTCCTTTCTGAATAATGGATATGGAGGTATGCTTTTTTCCTGCACTAATGGAAATTTGCATAGAAGAGAAATAACAAAAACCTAAAGGAATAAACATACTAAAGGCATAAACTATGTAGGCATGACAGAAATGAAGGTTAAGGTCATGGAAAAATACTGTATTTCAGTTAGTGGGTGACAGTGAAGAAACCTTGAAGAACCATTGTTATCTTGGCAAAGTGATAATTTCTTTAGAACTACTTAAGATCGTATTGTCAGTAATAATGCATTACTTCCAAATGCAAAATAGTATGTAAATTTACACAATTTTTAATTACACCAAAATAAATATTTGCAGAACAATGAAGTACGTTCCCTGGACATGAACAGGAGAAGAAGAACTCGAAAGGATTTCACGACTGAAGAAATTAACTGTCTTTTGAGTGGAGTGAAAAAAATGGGTAATCACTGGAATTTAATTTTGTGGTCCTATCCCTTTCAGAAAGGACGGACAAGTGTTGATCTTTCCAAGAAATACTACAGGTTACAGTTGCAAGTAATCATAATTTAATTTTCTATTAATCATATATGCTGTTGGCTCAGTTTTCAGCTTTTGCCCCTGAACTGACTTGCAAAAAAAGACAAGCTATCGGAATTTGCAACCCATGGGATTGTACTTTGTGTCAGTTCAATGCTATCCATGCTAGGCATTAGAATGGTCCCTGGTGTAACTCAATCAGGGCTTGTGCTTGGAGAGAGGGAACTAAACTGGGAAAATATTAGAGAGCCTTTGAACCTTCCAGTGCCACCTGACAGGATACAAAGAGGATACGAATTTCAGTTAAGGACTCTAAATTAATCCCTGTCTTTATTTGGAAGTTGATATTTTCTCCATCCAGTCTCTTTTTGGATGATGGTTTGTGAAAATCTGTGGCAGTTTTCACCATGTTTAACATGTACGCTCCTTACACAGAGATGCTGTCTGTGGACGGAGTAGATAGCATTTCTGCTGTGCTTTGGATAGGTGTGGGAGTGTTTAGGGGCAAGTGTTTTTCTACTGAAACATTTTCTAAAATTGTGCAGTGTTTTGTGTCAACATTTGTCTTGATATTTTCTCTTTTATCTCCATTTTATAGAGGCAAGAAAAAAACAAAGATCATAAATGACATCTTTCAAGGGTATTTTGGATTTTGTTGCAGAATGTTGAAGAACAGCATTTTTAACAGTGAGGTATTGTCACGACATGAGCTGTTGGAGAATTTAGATTGGCTTGGACTCATGTTTTTCAGTGATAACGTTCACTGACAGAGTTGTTATGCTTTGTAAATTTAAACTACATGTAATTTGGTAAGTTTTTTTAAAAATAAGACTAACATAGCTAACAAAACTTGTATCAGTAAAATTTATGGGTTTTTGTTAATTTAACCTTCTTGAACATTTGATTTATGTAACATTGGACTTAGCTTTTTGGTTAAATCTTTTTATAGTTTGCTTTGAGTTTTGTAAGAAAAGGCTATATTGCTAAAATGAATATTTACTGTCAAAAACTGGTGTTAATGTTGTGTCTGATTTTGTTTCCTCTTAATCAGTGAAATGTTTAAGGCAAGTAAAGTATTTTCTTGTGTGTTTAATGTGCTATATGTGCAGAAAAAATATGTATCTATGACAGAAAACACCAAACATATGGTTAAACACTGCTGCGTATAGTAGGCAAGTCTTACATTGGTACAGGAACTAAATTGAAATAGAAAGCTTGTGGAAATGTCAGAACTTCTGGCTAAGAAGATGTAGTGTGTGGTTCAGCTGCAACATTTCTTGACTGATACTAGTGACTGGGATAACATGCCTGGGCCTACATACAGTACTTCAGTGTGACCTAAGTAGAATGCAGGTACTGATAAAATTTGGCTTCTGTTTATAGCTGGATGGTTTTTTGTGTGTTATTCAAGTGAGTGAACAGAACCACCGTTTCTGCTGATTACACAGTTTTTATAGAAAGCTTGATTTTTCAGTGATAGCCTTAGTACTCCATTGTATTTTTTATCTATTCTGATAAAGGACTGATTAATTGATAGTTAATTTATTATGGAAAAAGTTTAGTTATCTTATTAGGACTAGGTTTTTACTATGATGTAGCTTAAACGCTTGAAAACACACAAGATAACCAAAAAAGGAAAGACTTGCAGTAAAGATGATGCCAGTGATACAGTAAATAGGTCTTCTAGTATTTTCAGCTGTTGCAATTTTTGTTAATATTATTACAATATTCAAGCATCTATAAAAGATGTCTTTGAATGGAGCTGTTGAAAGCGGCATAGTTAAATATTGGCGTATGTATTTGCAGAATATGAGCCTTTCATGAAGGAAAGCATGTTTACAAAAAAAAACTTGATCTTGCTTTGTAGTTCTGTTAGAAGAACAAAAATGGAAGAATTTGGGTGGTAATAAAAGCTTGCTTTAGTAGCAAATAATTTATAACAGGCAATTTCACCTAAACGTGTGAGTTAGTTCGGCGCCCACGCCG